CATTTCTACATATGCGGGGCTGCTAATATTTTGACGACACCTGACAAAAGCGCCGTCGCATGTTTTATAAACAAGAACATTCTGCAGCGCATTATACAGTATATGGATGTGAAATCGAAATGCACACTGCAACCGGCATACAAAAAATGTTTCGTGGTTTCACAGCCAATTATGCATCTATATGTATTTCTTCATGCCGGTAGCAGATATATTCAGAAACTTTGTGGGTCAGTTGGCATGTTTGGTGCGTTTTTAAACGTCGTATGAGTGCGGAAGAATTGGTTCGGGTAGGTGAAGCACACCGGAAGCTATCAGCTATGGCGTTCCGCAGATCCCAGTTCGCTCAGCAGCCAGTACGTGGTCATCGTTCCCTTTCCCTACAGTTGAACTAATATTTCGCACAAGTTGCTTTTTACGAAAGATTGCAAGTAAAATCTGTCGGCTTCGCATCTTGACTACGATTTCTTCCCAGCTTGGATCCTCAGCGCCACGCTGGCAATCTCACCGCCATGTTTACTTCCGTTGCGGACCGGAACCCCGCTAGCAACCTCAACTTACTAAGCACATGAGCAGTCCTATTGAACTCGCCGTACCGCATGTGCAAATATTTTAACTTGGAGTTTTCCCACTGGATCATACCATGCAAGCATCGCCACTTATACATGTCAAAATTTCTCGGAATTCTCAGTTTTCTCAATAGTGCCAGTTTTCGGAATATTCTCAACTAGGACTTCATCTGGCCGCCCTCGCTCGCTAAGATTTCCACAAACAGCCGTACTTAGGGCGTCCTCTGGTCAATTCGAGGTTGAAAGTTTATTAGCATTTGCTCATCTCGGTGGAATAATTTTTCAGTAAAAAGGGCAACGGATATTAATTTTGTGTGTATTCATAATAAACACTACGCAACCGCACCTGGACAATTTTTAGGGTTATCTTGATGGCTGAGCGTAGTGTTTTACCGGCATCGGAATCTGTTCGACGGTCTCAGAACAAATCTTTTACGACAAAAATGCATGATACAGTTTCCAGACGTGCTGAATCATAGAACGTAACTAGTGTTTGTTTAGTTCATAAATAAACAAAACAGTTGAGTGAGTTAAGACAATCGTTGGTAAGCCCACCAACGATTGTCTTATAACGATTGTCTTAGTATTCAGCGTTATTCGGCGAGATGTTCGCTAGCGACTAACCATGGTAAGAGCCAGTCCTTTAATATCGTATAGTAGATAAATAGATATGTACTTTTATATCTATGCATTCTGTAATACAAATTAATAATGTGAATACGATACGTGTATGCGAATACTCGTATTTCAGTAATGCAATGTTCGCTAGAATTCCAGCTTCAGATAGAGACCGATGCAAGTCTCTGAGACTAAATAACCGATAAACAACCGATGCAAATTCTAATACCTATTACATTATCCTATTCAAAGTTTGTGCAAAGAATAGATGTTTACATTTTCTTCAGTGTACATGTACAGAGTACAAGCTTAGATCGGGCCAACTTTGTACTGCAGCGAAGTTGTGTATACAAGTAATTCGCGTTTGCAGAAAGAACGAGTATATAATCAGCGAAAACGTGAGAACCTGATAAGCGCAACGAGGTTTCTGTGCGTTGTCCCAGCAAAGTCTGCGCCGTTGAGAAACGGTTGCGGAGTTAAATTTACATTAATTTCATTCTGAATGGATTGCATTTGTACTCATACTATGTACAAACGTTAGCACAAATGATTAGGTAAAGTGCGTTACACAAACATTTTGAGGCCTGAATCACCCGGCGCATTGAAAGTCAAATGGATTGTTTATTTTTGGACTGCTAATGCGGTGTTGTTATTGTTGCAGAAATTACGTATTTCAAAAAACTTAGCAAGCAAACACGGAAATGTTCGTTTTAGGGTGGTATGAATTTTACCCTAGCAAAACTTACGTATAGTAACAGAAAATTTGATAATCAATGGAAGCTGGCAGTGCATGCTAATTTGGCCCTGCCTAAATCTTGCTCTAAAATAATTTCAGTTTTCTGTCAGGTTTCTTATCGCTACATGGCTTGTTTATGGTAGCCAATAAAACGAATTACGAATTATACAGTTCAGTGAGTAAATTTTGTGGCCATACTTTGGTAGCGTTACGGACTTCAGTTAAGACAGAACACGCGTGAAGGGTTTCGGATTGAGCCGTAGATAACGTTAACGTTTAATCCATGCTGAATAAAAATCAGACGAACGTACCTCTCAGATACGAGAGGTGAGGCTTTTATCTGTTCACACAGCTTGCTCGACCGCCAAGGCCATTGAGATTTCTTGCAACTCATTCACCAACTCATAGTCAAACATGATAATCTTATCTCGTTATATGTAGCCCAACATATGGAAATATAAAGCAGGGAACATGACGAGCAAACTGTTTATTTCGGTTACTCCAGTATTCCAGCAACAGAATGTGGATGTGTTATTTGTAGGAGAAATACTAATGTCCGTCATGGAAGTCTTCTCTTCATCCTTCTTGGTCTTTATCATCGTCCAACTCTTTTCTTCAGGCAGTGGTGCTGCTGACCTTTGTGGGCATAGCGGGCGACTTATTAAGAATGTCGCAGATTCAGCAGACAGAAACACTGCAACGCTGCGATATCGAGGTAAATGTGTCCTTAAATGCACAGTAACAATTAACAACAAGTAATGGTAAAGATAATGCATAGACGGTTAAGGCAGCTGCAAAATTTTTTGCAATCGATTGATTATACCAAGATTGTTTACCCTTTTAGGTCGGGGCACCGTGGAGTTTACCATCGTACCGCCTAAACACACTTACATCATCGCACTGAACGAGTATCAGATAATTATAACTACGACTCACGACTACTGGGCAAATTTTACGCATCCCAACTTCACAAATTCCCTCGTGCATAATGCAACCAGCAGCTTAAGCATGTCAAAAAATCCCTGGCTGCGCATTTGGCTGTCGTTTTCCGCTAGAAAACCGGCTTTCATCAAGCTCGGATCTGGGGATCTGATGCATTCCAATACCATTATGCAGTTCTCCCCAAATTACGTGGACTATAAGGAAGATCCCTTTATCAGCCAGTTAACCACTATCCGATTAGATAGTAGTGTCAACCTGTACAAAGATACTCAACCCCGTGTCACAATGGACCCCATCATTCTGGATCCATCACCCTTCCTCATCCCGCCACAGTTGCGCGGGCGCCAACACGATCAGCTGCACGATGAGCACTTCTATCTGCCGGTAGCGCGCCTACCGTGGGCGGCAAGAGGTCTCTTTGAACAAGTGCAGAATTTCGAGCTCAGTGATACGGAGATCAAGGCCATACAGTACTCGGTCACGACGGAAGGGAAGTTTCTCTTTAATGTCAGACAGCAGAAAGTGCTAGCTGGCCATTTTCCCGGTTATTTGCGGGCGGATATGCAGGAACCGCGACGTACAGCACCCGGCCAGGAAATGGTACTGGAAATTTGGCTGCCGGGGCAAAGTAGTCCTATCCACAATCATGGAGAGACATCAGGGATCATCAAGGTTGGTTTATGTTTATGGCTGCAGTAATATACATACTACATTAGCTACACTAATTTTACGTTTTTACTCTCATAGCAGATTTCGTCCCGCACTTGCTTTTAGTACTTTTACTCGCATCAGCGGTACACTGGTAGTAAAAAATTAATCGTTACCACATATACCAGTTAATATATTCTGCTTTAAAACATAACCGCATTCAATGATACAGTTAGAGCTAATAGCATTCTAAAAATGCTCTGTATTAAAGAAGCTTGAATTAATCTTACAAGTTATTTACCATTGTGTTTTCCAGCTAGTTTTTTCTTTTATAGGTACTTCACGGTAAAATCGACTCAGAATGGTTTAATCCAATCATGCCTAATATCAGTGAATGGGCAGTCAGAATTCACGGTCCTGAACGGCTGTATGCCGGCAATTATACTTGGCTAACAGAGTCTATCTACCAGACGCATAAGCTCACCAATCCAGACCCGGTGAACGTGGCTATATCCATACAAGCGTATGGCTACGAGGACGACGTCGAGGAACCGGTAGAATATTTCTTCTACATTCCAGAGTCATGCAATCCCCATATACCTCACAGCACCTGTTATATGGATTTTTTCCCCGAATCGGATTTCACCTTTGAGGACATTACCGGCACTGTCATGCGTGAGTATCAGCAGTTCCTACAGGGAGGCGCGGCAGGTGTTGCGAAGTTTCCCTACTTTGTTGCCTTCGGATGTATTGCCTTTTTGCTGTGTTTGCGTTCTGAATTTGTAACGGAATTCTAATAATAGTAAGCTCTTGATATTTGTGAGATGAGTTCTCTGCGAATCCACAGTTCTTGTTAGCATTTTTTATTTCCGGCTTTTTCAGACCAGACCACGATTTGCACACGTGTGCCTGTCATGCTCAGTAACGTAGTACTGTAACTTTTTCATGGGAATTTATCAACTTTCATATTTGTATTACTTATCTCATCACGCCGAACGAATGCCTATTTAATGCAATTTGTAAGCGAATTTCCGGTAATAATGACCGATAAGACATCGAATTTCGTTCGAAAGCCTTAATATTTGTGGTGACATTTTAAGAAAATTTTGTGTCGTTGCAACGGTCTATCCAAGCAGTAAATTTTGCCATTTGGGTTTTCGTGCAACGAAAAAAGAAAATTTAAGAAAATTCTAAAAAAATGAGACGGTTCTCTGTCGGCGGTTTCACGTATACTGTGCGTAACTTAATTTAATTTATTTTAATTCACATCGGAGCAGGTCGCCCATTTCCGGCTAGGATGACAGTCTAGCATGGGATTTTGAACCTGGCTGGAGAAACATTTAATTAAACATCTTCCATCATACGAAAAAAATTAGGAAATTCTTATAGTCGCACACCAATAAACAGCCCAAAGAAAACCAAGACAGCTGCCATGCAGTAAAACAACAAGTAGCAAAGCCAAACAAAGCAAATTTAAAACAGCCAAGGGATGGTAACACAAGCGCATTACTTCCGCTGAGGTTGATGTTACCTAGAAGCTTGCTCAACCACATAGCATCAGTAAACAGCGGAAACTGGCGGCCGAATTACAGGGAACATCTGATCTAAAGATAAATTAGCCGGAGCTGGTGCGGTTCTCAGATTGGCAGCCGCGTTCCCCGTTGAATTTCGATGCTGGAGCGGATACTCTTTTTTGCACGTATCTCATCTGTTTCCTGACGTATCATCATGCCCAGTTACTGTACATCCGAGATGCTTCCGGTCCAAATGGTCCCACCGTCTCAACGCCCACCGCGCGAAACAAGTAGTCATGCGTAATGTTCTGGCATTTGCGGTTCCTTCCGTTATACATTTAATTATTTTCGAGCTTTTACTTTGTGTGAAAACAACTGCATGAAGCAGTTCTTAGTAGACTAGATATGTACCTTAAAGGTTTTTGTCGCCATCAAAGTGCCATTTCAGAAGGAAGATCATGTGCAACCTTTTCGTTTGACTCAAAATTATTATGCAATACCATGTACACTATTGCTGTCGCCATCAACGAATCGCTCATAATTCGATGTAACCAATACTTAAGGATGCGAAATCAGATTGACCTTTAACTGAATAAGTACGCACATTACGATTAACATGCCGTTCTTTCACAGACAATAATCTGACTTACGTCGCTACCAGAACTATTACTTAAAATTTCGTGGATGGCGGATATGTTTGGTGCGTTCTTGGGCGTGCAAATGCGGAAGAACTGGTTCGGGTATCAGAAGCACCCGGAAGCTATTGGCCATGGCTTTACAGTCGCTCAGCGGATCCCAGTTTGCTTAACAGCCAGTACGTGGTCATCGTGCCCTTACCCTGTAACCGAGCAAGGGCTTTGTATGCGTTACTTGTTCAGCGAGATCGTACGAAAACTCTAGGCGGCAGACCTTGACCACGATTTCGCCACGCTCTTGTATGATGTAACCACCGATGTCGTTTAGCAACTCATGACTCTGCTCGGACATCTGTATCTTCATTGCTACGAAATAAAAGAAAAAGAAGTTATGTTAGCCAGAGAAGATGCAGGGAACTGTAAATAATGCGTACGCTCTCCTGTGGTTTCCATCCGCGAAGCGGTGTTGACGGTATCACCAAATCTGTAGATCAACATTCACCACGTCATGCAGTGTACTGGTTGCTTACTTCCAGCGTAAAACAGACTTACAAGCAGTATCGAGGCATCTTTAGTCCGACGATTCCAGCAACACAGGGTCCTTAGGGAAAAGAGTGCATCAGGAAGAGAAAAAGATACAAAACTTGTGCCATTCCCATTTTACCTGAGTGCATTCCAATGCGCACTTGAAGTTTCTCGTGTGGTCGACTGGGTATAACGAAGGCCCCAATCCCGGCTTGGATGCGCAGCGCCACGCTGGCGATCTCTCCGGCGTGTTTATTTCCGTTGCGGATCGGAAGACCGCTAGCAACCTAAGCACATGTAAGATCGTACAGAATCTGCTGAGTCCGTTTAGAAAAATTTCATTTGAATATTCAACTGTTTTCCTAAAGGATTTCCTACCATGTAAGCATCACCAATGGTTTCCACTTTGTACACATCAAAATGCTCCAATATGCTGTCAAATAAGGTGTATAAATTGTTTAACAGCGTCACCACGTCCATCGGCGAAATGGACGCGGAGATGGTTGTGAAGTGGACAATGTCGCTAAAGTAGATGGTGACGCTTTCGAATGATTCAGGACCGATGCTTTCACCTTTAGTCAACGCTGCAGCGACGCTTCTGTATTACAGAATTCGTTCGAGTTTATTCAGTTTTCTTTTGAGCGTGTAGTAAGTGGTTGCAGATATCTGGTTTTGTCAACATAGCTGCCGCAAAACACGTACTTTGGCAAGAGCTGGCAAAGCAGTTCTTCCGATCGTCGTTTCTCTTCCATGAACTGCTGTGTTTTTTTCCACGACCTGGGCTTCTAAACTATTGGCATACTGTTCCATTCTGTTGAGCAAATGTTCCACAATATTCCCGCTATCAGAACCGGCAATCTTTTTAATGGTTTCTCGTATTTTTGGAAAATGTCGGCCGTTCGAGCGGGTGCTCCGACCAACACTGTTCCATCAGCTGGTAAAGCTCAATCGAGCAGGCCGTTTTGGGGACCATTGGTCGGAAGGGAGGTATACTGCCTTGCTTGACCTTCAAGCAAAATCAGTGTTTGTCAAAATGCTCTACTATCAACCGAACAGTGTATGGCCTCGATGTACCTCCATGATAATTTCTTTTGGCGAAAACTGCGCGACAGTCGTCGCCGCATCCTGGGTGGCCGATGAAAACGGACTACTTCGCAGAACGATTTGTTGGAGAATGATGGCAAAACTGTACACATCGCCTGCAGGCTCTTCTTGTTAGCAAACCATTCACAACGCAATAAAGCTTGCTCGAATGTCTCACCTTTCTGCAAACGATAACGGAAGTTGTTAAAACAAAACTGATTGCTGGGGCAAGAATAACAGTAATTATAATGTACATACCTGTGAACCTTTCATTGGCATCGTATAACGTAGAAATTCGGGCGCCCTCCAAAACAATCGAGCAAAATCCCGCTCCGTATCTGATGGCTGCGGCACGACGAGTTCTTTAGGATCGGTGAATCCCGTTAGGCCATACGATGTGACCTTAACCATAAAGCGACTGTCTACTGCGCAGGTCAGAGCGGACAAGTGACCGTGTGACTGAACACTGGAATTGTGGAGATACTGCATTCCCTGCAGAAAAACACGTAGTGTCCGCCCGCATGACTTTGAGAAAGACCAAAAATAAGCTACCGAAAGACTGAAAAGGCAAACTACCAAAAATAAGTTACCTCACTAATATCGCGTATAAGCGAATGCTTGAACGACCAATCCAACTTGATGTGTTCATCATCCAGCACATCGTCCAAAGTTCCTTTTGAGCACAATTCATTGGCAATAAAATCCACAAAGTTCTGCTCGTCCAAGCACAAACCGACAAAACGATGCAGGTTTTGGTGAGACAGCAAGCGAATCTGCACAAAACCACAATATTCAAGCAAATGCCTCTTTTGTGCTCATTAATCTGGCCGTTGCCTCGTTCATTTGCTGAATCATCAGATTTGACGGCCGATACTGCTTCTTCGGCAACTCCAGCAAGGATATAGCAATCCCATCGTATGTCGCCGGGATCCCATATGGATGTTGGGACATCATGGTGGTCCTGGAGTGTTTACTGGTAATATCTTTCGGAACTAATGGCCGACTTCTGTAATTACATTTTGTACTTCCTGTGCCGTATTGATGGATTTTCTCGTAAACCCTGTGTGCGGGTGTCGGGAAACTTGGCAGAGCGGAAGACACAGACCTGCAAACTAGCCCGTGACATTTCGGTGGCATTAGCCACCCCGAAGAGCAGCACGTCGTTGGTACGGATTCGCCACCAGTACGGATCGGTAAATGCCATGCTGCTGCTGCAGAACACCACAGCCCAGGTCAATGACAGTCATAAGGATAAACAAACGCATATTGTTTGATTAGCTTACCGTAGCACAAAATACGTTGCTCCCAATAATATTGCCATAAACAGCACACAACCAATAGCGATGCCGGCAATGCCACCCGGACTCATCGCAGACGCTAGAAATCATACAAATTCATCACGCGATGCAGTGTACGGATTTGGAATCCACTGGCTTACACTGTTGACAAACCGCCGCTTTTCCGTCAAACCCGCAGAACGGTCGATCTGGCGGAAGACTGCCGCCCGGCCATTCAAATTTCCCGAACCATGTTAATTCCTGCGTACCGTAGTCGATCCTGATGACATTCTGCGAAATGATACGCTTGATAGCAAAATTGCAACAGAAAAAAATTGGAGAACCAACCTCAAATTTTTCAGTATCGCGGCTGAGGTCCTTGATGGAGTACGCGCGGGTGCGGTCACCATGACCGTTCATGTGAATGGAATAGCCCAGTGGTCCTTTAAAAGACACGTTCTTCATAGCACTGGCTAGCTGCTTGCCATCCGATAAGCTGCCGTTAGCATACAACACAGACGCCACGGCGTTTCCGTATAATATCACCGCATCGTAATAGCTGACAACGATTGGATCAACCTGTAAAGGTTACCGTCAAGCGCTCTTAGTGGACGTAATCTGGGTGCTAATGCTGCAGTTGTGACCTGTTCAAAGGCGCCGTAATTGTAGCCGTACTGCGATCGCGCCCGCCTTTTGACTTCCTTTTGGAATTCTACAAAGTCCAGATTGCTTTCTTCGTACAGTCCAATAATTGCTAAGGAGCGGTAGGCCAGTTGTGTGTCCTGTAAGTAATACCCCGACGAATAAGGCTAATTTACTGGCTTACAAATTTCTGCTTGGGTGTACTCTTACCCGGTCTAATGGATCGTTAAATCTCCATGTGAAATCACCCCAAAATTGCTTTTAAACAACTCAATCGCAATGTAGACCTAATTGGTAAGATCTGCTCAGCAAGAAAGTTTACACAA